GGGGGGGGGGGGGGGGGGTCTCACCTGTGTTTCAGCAGCAGGGCCCGCAGCACGTTGGCTCTGTCTTCAGCCTTGATCTGGTCAGAGATGACCATCTGCTCCACCACCTGGTGGGCCACCCCAGGCAGGGTCTGCTGGTCCAGGTCCAGAAGCACAGCCCCTGGAACAGGATGGCACAGAGGGGCCTTCATCCCCAGGCAAGAAACGCAGCCAGGGGGCAGAAGGGAGAAAGAACCAGGGACAAGGGGCCAGCTAGGTAAGTATGGTCCCAGGAAGGAGCGCTGGCCGAGAAATCAGCGAGCAGGGCTCCAGGCCCCAGCCCCGTCACCTCTCTGACCTGTTCCTTCCAGCACTCTCTCCCACGAGAACATCATGGGGCTCAGCAGAGGCCACCGAGGCAGGGCCCTCCCAGAGGCCCCTTCCAAGGAGCGCGCAGCCTCAACTGGGGTGCCCCAGGCCATCCACTCAGGCAGGGTCACTTTTTTTGTTGTTAGAAAGTTCCTCCTTTCAGCGAGCTCCACGCTGCCTCCCCTAACATCCACTCTAGGGTCCTAGTTCTGCCCTCTGAGCGTGACACAGCCCATCTGTGGCCTTGAGTCACCTGAATATGTCACCCTCCGCCCCAAGCTCCTTGACTTCCCCAAGTCCAACAGCTGCTCACAGGACAGTTTCCAGATCTTTCTCCCAGTCACTGCTCTGGACGACTGTTTGATACAGAAATGGAAGTCCTTTCAAAAGCGACCAGGTCATCTGTCAAGGTCACTTGCAGGAACACAGAACCAAAGAACGGACAGAACCAAAGACCCCTGAGCAGCCAAAACGGATTGCAAAGTCCTGTGATAAAGCACCTGCACTGTGGCACCTCATACAAAGCCTGCAAGCCTCGCTCAGAGTCTATTTACCCCTGGTTTTGAAATAATTCTGACAGAAGGTTTCTGAGTCCCCAGCTGCATACAAATAGGCCTTCTGACAGCAACCGGGAGTGACTTCCCCAGCGGGAAGGAGCAAACAAAGAGCAGAAATATCAGACCTAGACCTCAAGACTCCTGCATCTTATTTTTTTAGTGAAATTTACATAGCCTGTGGGGCCTCTGACTGGCTCAGTCGGTGCAGCATGTGACTCTTGATCTTGGGGTTGTGAGTTCAAGCCCCACACTGGGTGTAGAGATTACTTAAAAATAAAAATCTTTGAAAAAAAAAAGAAAAAGAAAAAGAAAATTCACGTAACCCTATAGATTAGATCATTTCAGAAAAGTTTCCATCAAAATTCTTTAAAAACATGTCAGCATCCCAAACATACC